CGCGCACGTCACCGTCACCAACCAAACCCTCTCATTTTAGGTCTGTGATGAGAATAGATTGGTGAACAATGCCACCATCCAATAAACCCATTCCTTACAAGCATGAAAAACAATGACAGAAGATACTAAAACACAGCTTTTTGCTTTTAGTAGGCAGAGCTTGTTGTCGAGGCTCAAAGCAGAGCGCTACAGATGAGTTCCGTTAGCGGTCAGGTGAGCGTTCATCAAGGAGCGTCAATATCCCCTGACCTAAAACCGGCGAGACAACGAGCCAATGGCTCAATGGTTAGGGCGTTTGAATATGATCAAAAAGATCGCGAGTTCGAGGCTCGGGTGAGACATCACTTGGGTGTAGGTGTGACTGGCTGACGACGGCTAATAAGCTAGAAACGGCCATTTCAGTCTCCCTTGTCTTCGCCTTCAATACTATCTGCCTACTACTAGCTGTAACGGCTTTCAGGGCCTCTAACGAGGCTCAAGGCAGAGCGGGACAGACGAGTTCCGTTAGCGGCCAGGTCATCGCTCATCAAGGACTTTTTCGTCTATTTCCCATCATCAGCCAGCCAGACTCAGTTTTTGGTCATGGTGCCAGATACGTCTTTCCCTCCCTATTCGAGTGAAAAGCGTAATCTGTAACAAAAAAAGCTAACTTCGTCATCCGGAAATGTCCCCGAACTTGCCTTGGTCATAACATCAGGGTGGGCACCAGAATTGAGAAGAAGGAGCACAACATCCTCGTGGCCGGCCTTTGTGGCGACGTGCAGGGAAGTATGTCCATCGTTCGTCGTTGCTTGAACATTGGCCCCGTGGTGAAGCAGGAGGCTGATCAACTCACAGTTACCCATTTGTGCCGCAATATGAAGACTCGTTTGATTGCCCTGAAACATGGAGGAATAAGTCGCGCATGCTCTGTGGCAGAATGCAATCAACAATAAAGCACTTCAGAAGAGAACTATCAGAGCGCACTTCGTGCACATATGTGGCGTTCAAATGAATAGCAAAAAAAATGGAACAAACCCGAGCTTTAGAATCGACGAGGGCACCGTTCCGTAGGAGAATGCGAACCACTTCGAGTTTATTAGCCCTGGCAGCTAAGTGAAGACTGGTTTCATCGCAACCGTTGCGAGCATTCGGATCTGCCGAATGTTGCAACAACAGAACAACGATATTCACATGTCCCATAAACGCAGCCACATGTAGAGGCGTAAGTCCCGACTTAACAAAAGACAGGAAAAAGGGAAGACCAAGTTAATATAATGTACTCTGAAAATCGTGAAATGCAGTGGCATTGGATACAGAAGGTAGAGAAGGCGTTTATAAAGACTATGACCAGAAATTAAAGTATGCTCATATGCAGAAGCCAAGAATCAGACAATCGTGCGTTTTAACTGCTGCGTACTCAATACTGTGGCAAACTTATATCTGCACAGGGGAGGGAGCTAGAACACTTGTATTCAGTTAAATGTTTGCGGATGTGCTCTAGGTAAATGAAAGGACCATTACAACAAAGAAAGTGTTTTCTGGGTTAACTGAAGAATTCCAAACGACAAAACAGCTTAGGAGGGTTGTTCACCAATCAGGTGGTAGTGCAGAACATGTGGGCCTCCACATTAGACTTCCCAAGTAAAACGGGATGAATATGTTTCTCACTGTAAGCCGACCGGTAAACGAACAACTTACGTTAGTTATTATTTCCCCTCAAAACCGAGAAGAATGAATGTGGCGGCCCTCGGATCAGCGTCACTAGCGCTGACTCACCTTTTCTTCGCTTTTAAGGCCCACACGCGCTCATGGCCGACTCGCGACAGGACCCCGTGTGGCTCATCGTGCCTTCGCCACGAAGCCTTGCAGTTCTGCGTGCTCGCAATCTATCCCGGACCCTCTTGTTCGATCTGCCGTGAATGCTACCCACGCTGTCCAC